CCCCCCCACTGGGGGATTCTAAGCCAGTTAGAGCTATACTTTCTACTCAAACTCTCCTCTCTGACTTTGTCTCACACGAGCATTTGCTAGCATGTGTGTCTGTGCATCATATGCATACATGGTACCCACGGAAGCCAGAAGAGGACAGATGGCTGTGAGCTGCCATGTGGGTGCTGAGAATCAAACCAGATCCTCTGGAAGAGCAGCCAGTGCTCTTTCCTGAACCATCTCTCCAGTCCCTTCTGCTCTCTTTTTTACTTTTTATTTTCAGACAGTTTTGCTAAGCTACTCAGGTTGATTCTGCTGCCTCAGCTTCTGTAGCACATGGGATCGCAGGCCTTCCCACTACTTGCTGGATGCTTGAACACAGTGTCCCTGAAGACCCAAAGCTGCCTGCAGTGAGAGTGTGGGGCATTTCTCAGCAGCTACCAGCTTCTCAAATCTAATCTTAAACACAATAAATCACCTCCAAAACCTATAGTTACTTTCTAAATTGAGTCACACCCAGGCTGCAATGGGAACCTTTAGCAAAAGGAAAAATCAGAGTGAGCTGAGGCAGGAGGATATAACGTTGACAGCCATGCTGTGCTATGAGATGTGGTTGTGTGTGTGCGTGCACATGTGTGTATGTGTGTGTGCATGTATGGGTGTGTGCATGTATGTGTATGCACATGTATGTATGTGTGTGTGCATGTATGTGCATGCACATGTGTGTATGTGTGTGCATGTGTGTGTGCACATGTGTGTATGTGTGTATGTGTGCAAGTATGTGTATGCACATGTGTGTATGTGTGTGTATGTGTGTGCATGTGTGTGCACATGTGTGTATGTGTGTGTGCATGTATGTGTATGCACATGTGTATATGTGTGTGTATGTGTGTGTGTGCGTGTGTGTGTGTGTGTGTGTGTGTGTATGCACATGTGTGTATGTGTGTGTGCATGTGTGTATGCACATGTGTGTATGTGTGTGCGTGCGTGTGTGTGTGTGTGTGTGTGTATGCACATGTGTGTATGTGTGTGTGCATGTGTGTATGCGCATGTGTGTATGTGTGTGCGTGCGTGTGTGTGTGTGTGTGTGTATGCACATGTGTGTATGTGTGTGTACATGTATGTGTATGTGCATGTGTGTATGTGTGTGTGCATGTGTGTATGCGCATGTGTGTATGTGTGTGCGTGCGTGTGTGTGTGTGTGTGTGTATGCACATGTGTGTATGTGTGTGTACATGTATGTGTATGTGCATGTGTGTATGTGTGTGTGCATGTGTGTATGCGCATGTGTGTATGTGTGTGCGTGCGTGTGTGTGTGTGTGTGTGTATGCACATGTGTGTATGTGTGTGTACATGTATGTGTATGTGCATGTGTGTATGTGTGTGTGCATGTGTGTATGCGCATGTGTGTATGTGTGTGCGTGCGTGTGTGTGTGTGTGTGTGTATGCACATGTGTGTATGTGTGTGTACATGTATGTGTATGTGCATGTGTGTATGTGTGTGTGCATGTGTGTATGCGCATGTGTGTATGTGTGTGCGTGCGTGTGTGTGTGTGTGTGTGTATGCACATGTGTGTATGTGTGTGTACATGTATGTGTATGTGCATGTGTGTATGTGTGTGTGCATGTGTGTATGCGCATGTGTGTATGTGTGTGCGTGCGTGTGTGTGTGTGTGTGTGTATGCACATGTGTGTATGTGTGTGTACATGTATGTGTATGTGCATGTGTGTATGTGTGTGTGCATGTGTGTATGCGCATGTGTGTATGTGTGTGCGTGCGTGTGTGTGTGTGTGTGTGTATGCACATGTGTGTATGTGTGTGTACATGTATGTGTATGTGCATGTGTGTATGTGTGTGTGCATGTGTGTATGCGCATGTGTGTATGTGTGTGCGTGCGTGTGTGTGTGTGTGTGTGTATGCACATGTGTGTATGTGTGTGTACATGTATGTGTATGTGCATGTGTGTATGTGTGTGTGCATGTGTGTATGCGCATGTGTGTATGTGTGTGCGTGCGTGTGTGTGTGTGTGTGTGTATGCACATGTGTGTATGTGTGTGTACATGTATGTGTATGTGCATGTGTGTATGTGTGTGTGCATGTGTGTATGCGCATGTGTGTATGTGTGTGCGTGCGTGTGTGTGTGTGTGTGTGTATGCACATGTGTGTATGTGTGTGTACATGTATGTGTATGTGCATGTGTGTATGTGTGTGTGCATGTGTGTATGCGCATGTGTGTATGTGTGTGCGTGCGTGTGTGTGTGTGTGTGTGTATGCACATGTGTGTATGTGTGTGTACATGTATGTGTATGTGCATGTGTGTATGTGTGTGTGCATGTGTGTATGCGCATGTGTGTATGTGTGTGCGTGCGTGTGTGTGTGTGTGTGTGTATGCACATGTGTGTATGTGTGTGTACATGTATGTGTATGTGCATGTGTGTATGTGTGTGTGCATGTGTGTATGCGCATGTGTGTATGTGTGTGCGTGCGTGTGTGTGTGTGTGTGTGTATGCACATGTGTGTATGTGTGTGTACATGTATGTGTATGTGCATGTGTGTATGTGTGTGTGCATGTGTGTATGCGCATGTGTGTATGTGTGTGCGTGCGTGTGTGTGTGTGTGTGTGTATGCACATGTGTGTATGTGTGTGTACATGTATGTGTATGTGCATGTGTGTATGTGTGTGTGCATGTGTGTATGCGCATGTGTGTATGTGTGTGCGTGCGTGTGTGTGTGTGTGTGTGTATGCACATGTGTGTATGTGTGTGTACATGTATGTGTATGTGCATGTGTGTATGTGTGTGTGCATGTGTGTATGCGCATGTGTGTATGTGTGTGCGTGCGTGTGTGTGTGTGTGTGTGTATGCACATGTGTGTATGTGTGTGTACATGTATGTGTATGTGCATGTGTGTATGTGTGTGTGCATGTGTGTATGCGCATGTGTGTATGTGTGTGCGTGCGTGTGTGTGTGTGTGTGTGTGTATGCACATGTGTGTATGTGTGTGTACATGTATGTGTATGTGCATGTGTGTATGTGTGTGTGCATGTGTGTATGCACATGTGTGTATGTGTGTGTGCATGTGTGTATGCACATGTGTATGTGTGTGTGCATGTGTGTATGCACATGTGTGTATGTGTGTGTGCATGTGTGTATGCACATGTGTGTATGTGTGTGGCTGCAGGAGGGTGTAAAGTGTCTTCCTCTATTGTTTTTCACCTTAATTTTTGAGACAGACTCAAGTTCCTAGGATACTCCCGTCTCTGCCCACACAGCTGGGATTACAGGCAGTGCTCATGTCCAGATTTTAAAAGGCCCTGGGGATTTGAATATAGGTCTTCTTGCTTTTGTAGCAAGTGCTCTTATTAACTTAACTATCTCTTTAGCTCCTGAACTGGGCTGTATGGGAAACTCTGTATCAAAGTGACACAGTGAGGGCCAGAGACACTGCTCTGCAGCCTTGCCACCAATCCCCATGACCTGAGTTGGATCCCTGGAGTCTACACTGTGGAAGGAGAGAATGGACTCCCACAGGTTGTCCTCTGACCTCCACACATGCACTATGGAATATGTAATTTTACACCTCCACAGAAGAAAGAAGTGTAAAAGAATTGTGGTTTAAGAGGAGCCCAGCCAGGGCTACATATAGAGACCCTGTCTCAAAATAAAAAGTGGAAGGAAAGGGGTGGAAGAAGGAAGGGGTGGAAAAGAGAGAGGGAGAATCCATCAACTAACATAACTAACATTTATGTTGAGACAGGGTCTCTCTATGTTCCCATCTGTCCTGGAACTCACTAGGTAGCCCAGGCTAGCTCCAAACTCACAGGGAGATCTGCCTGCCTGTCTCCTGAGGGCTGGGATTAAAGGTGTGCACCACCACA